CTGATCGACGAAAAGACGGCAATCGGACATCCACAATACAGAGCTCTGCGGCCTCTATTGACGGCATTGGTGAGCTGACTGACTTTGAGAGAGACGAACTTACAAGAGTGGGCACCGCGTTTGAAGCGTCAATGGTTGACATGGAGAAGGTGTATACCGATTATATTCGAACCCGACATGCTGCCAACAAGAGACTGGAGGCGCTGCAGTCATCGGCCGCTGTACGAGAGTGGCTTAAAGAATGCAGCGAAAATTCAAGTGACATTACTAATGCCTGGAGTTTGGATGCTCTCCTTGTCAAGCCAATACAACGCATCACCAAATATCCTCTCTTGCTCAATCAGCTTCTGGAGGCGACTCCGAATACTCATCCTGACGTCGAATTTATCCGAAGAGCAGCAGTTGAGGTGACTGAGGTCAATGTACGGATCAACGAAGTAAAGAAGCACACCGAGCTTGTTGATCAGGTACTGAACCGAAAACGGAAGGAGTCTGATGTTCGAAATGGCTTGACGAAGGCGATTGGTCGGCGTGCAGAGAAACTACGGCAACATGTGGGCATCAATGGTGTACACGAAGATCCAGAGTATACCAAGCTCAAGATCAGTTATGATAACAACATTGCGCATCTATTCTTGGTAACTAAGGATTGTCAAGGATATATTGAAGAGATCACCAAGTGGGTCAATCGCTTGTGCGAGCTAGCAGCCGCTGCTGAGGCCTGGGTTGACGTTGGCCACACGAACTACGCACAGGCAGAGAGCAAACTTCGACAATTTGCCATTGTTGTTCGAGGGGTCAACTCGATTGCGCTCCCCGACCACAACGAGCAAGTCACAAGACGTGTCGTCCAACCCATGGAAAAGACAGCAACAATGCTAGAGAGGTTCAGATCAGATTCCAAAGGACTGATCCAAAAGCGAGAAAAGCGGCTTCTGGATTACAACCAATTCAAACATAAGAAGGACAGAGGTGAAAAGATTGACAAGAAGATGACCGAGCGCATGGAACAATGGGAAGCTCTGAATCTCGAAGCCAAAGAAAGAATGAAGCGACTTCTCCGATCAACAGCCGATCTCATCCATACTTGTCAGGCAAATCTTATTCAATTGCATCTCAACTGGTTGGCTATGTGCCGGCAAAAGTTCTCGGCCGCCATGGAAATACCCTTGGACAAGCTGGACAAAGCTGATATTGTCAAAGACTGGCAGGAAGATTTTGATTTCCAAGAAGCGACTGCATTGTCCCTGAGCATCTGCAATGGATCATTGTTAGCAGAGGCAGTGAACATGGTTTCGTTCTTAACTCCTGGTTCGACATTGACTGGCGACGAGTCACCCCGTCAGCCCTCATGGAACAGCGCAATGAAGCGATCTGTGTCAACATATGAAGAGATACCCCAGTTGCCATTAAAGGACCACTATCACCGGAACAGCGGAGGTCCAATGAGTTCTCAAAGTGATGATCACACCGAATGGAGTTCATCCACGTTCGCCAACGGGCGGATCCGGACCGGCTCAGCTGCATCTGGACGCATTCCCAAGACTCCAGAGACTGGAAGTCGAGGCGTTTCTGCATCTCTTCATACTGTGAACAGTACAAGTGCGTCTCGGCCAGGGACTAGTCCAGGTCTCTCAGCAGACAGCACCCAGCCAGCTCCTCGGTTGAGCTTCGAAGCCCCATCTCCATCATTAGGTGAATTGTTAACCGAATCTCCCATGGCAGTCCGACATGCTTCGTCGTCTACATTCTACTCGGCAGCTCCAGGACCAAGTCAGTCACAATCTCACCTACCGGTCACAGGTCGTGCCAGTGTTTTCTCTTCCGCAATGCCTATGGAAGAGAACCCCGAGCCGGAAATAGCACCGGCGAATCCAGAGCCACGGAGAGAACCTGGTGTTCTGTTCACTGCGGCCAGTGTCTATGAATTTAACATCGACCGATCGCGGCAGCAAGGTGGATTCCGCTACCTCACATATGTGATTGGGGAGATCTTCGACGTTATCGCTGAGCATGGAGAACTGTGGTTGGCGATCAATCAAGACGATCCGACAAGAGAAATTGGCTGGATCTGGAACAAGCATTTCGCCAAATTGGCGGAATGAGCTGGTGATGAAGACTTCAAATATGATGGTTTCTCATGGCAGGATCTTGGATATACCAGTTCTGGACACACATGATCCACTCCATACGCTGAGGAGGACATTTCTCTTTCGTACACTACAAGGAGTTAAGGCCGACCATTATATGGTTACTTTCGATCGAGACGGGGTGTGGCCTGACGAGTGCGCGGCTTACCAGGCTTCAACAATGATTTTTCTCTTAGTTTTCTTTGTCGTTCAAGCGTTCAAGCGGATGCAGGGTGAGGGCCGGCGTTGGTCATGTATCACAAAAAGGAAAAGAGGGAGCATATGTACAGTACTAGCAGACCATGACTTGATGGAAGGCAGCCTAAAATACCACTAGCTGAAGGAATCTTGTAGTTGGACATGCTCTTCACTGCAGAGTGAATGAAAAGCACATTTAGAGGAATTGGGCGATCTGCTGCTTTAGCCCTGAGACGGAGTTCGTAGAGGTGCCTATTTGTAGATGCACGTCGTGTACGAGAGTGTAGGCACATGACAAGGCGAGGACTTAGGCTTGAAATCCGATGAGGCTGTGGCTAGTGGCTCATTCAAGCGCGGGTGACGTACGGCGGAAAGTCCATCACACAGAAGATGGGAGAACAGAGCAAATCCCTTCTCGCTCAACCACATTTGACGACGTTTGACCGTGAGAGGCGCTCAACACACATTGCCTGGGCGTTACTGTATTCGCATTCTTAACTATCTCTGCCATGGATTCAGTATGAAACCTCATCCCCCTGCAAGCGACTGGTGAGCCGTGAAGCTATCACCCGTCTGGCACCCGCAGCCTCACACTTGACGTCTTGATGACATCTTCCTTCCTACTCTGTGGCCCTTGAGCGGACATTTCACAACTCGAAAGAAATGCCAGATCTTCATCCATTTGGAGGGCGAATGAGCCGAGCATTTGGAAGATCAGTAGGTGCACACATCATGAAGACGGACATCTCTTCCCCTGTCTGCGGTCCCCTCCCCCACCATGGCCGCACCTTGCATATCACTGCCGCACCTTATATTCGATTACAAACAACCTTCTGGGCTAACTGACACCACGTGAACATGAAGCTTGCACCAGAAGATGCATACTTGAGCTGTGAGTATATTCGCTCCCACACTCACGTTGTCGTGCTGACCAAGCCCGTGCAGACTACGATGTCCGATGTCCGTATTCCTTCGCACCCTTGCCTGATGGTTTTCCCCTGCAACACAGACTATTTACTGAGAAGGAGAGGCCGTACAGTGACAAGAGAAGACATATCAGTACTGAAGAATGATTGGTTGACAGACAATGTATGATTGTGTCCCTTGTCGGGAATATGAAGGCTGTTTGAGGCTGACATTTTGGTGCCTGTACAGGTCATCTCATTCTGGGAAGAGTAGGCGCATCGCTCGCCTTATCAAGGAGAGACGCAAGATCTGACGAGTATTGCTACAAGGTATCTGGAGCGAGAATACCTGACCAACTACAAACACTCTCACATTGTGCTCCTCCGCCCTACCATGTCGTTTATGCTCATGCAGACCCCCGATCCTCGGACGATAAAGGTATTTCTGCTACCAAACACAATCCCTCTGCGATCCCTTCCCTCATCTTGATTTGCTTTCTAGGACGCTCTTCCTGACTTCACCAACGTCTCACATATCTTCCTCCCCATCAACGACAACCACTCTGCCTCCATCGCTGAAGGTGGCACGCACTGGTCTCTGCTCTTAGTTTCCATCGTTGACGGCGTCGCATTCCATTATGACAGCATGCCACCCGGAAATCAAAACGAAGCACACTACGTCACCCAAAAACTCTCCAGACTGATCAACAAGCCTCTGCGGTTCATCCAATTGACCGACTCGCCGTTGCAGGATAACTCAAGTGATTGCGGGGTATTTGTCTGTCTTAACATGAGGCACTTACTCCTAAAGAGACTCTTGATGGTCAGAACGGATGCGAAGGTTAGCATGAGTCTGGGTGGGAGGGTAGTGGATGCCTCGGCGGGCAGGAAGGAGATGCTACGCATCATTGAGGAGTTTCGCAGAGAGGGTGAGAGAAGGAGATCGTAAGTACCAGATTCGTTCTTCCTTGTGCCATCTCAGTGGCATTTCTTTCCGTTTCAGAGCACGATTCAGATGACGCTTGTGGCTGATGGTTCAATTTGTGGCAGAATTAGCAATTCCCCTCATCCGGGCCGAAAGTCAAAATCACCACCGCGGATAGACGCGCCGAACTCGAGAGCAAAGAGCAACGAGCCAATCAACTGAGCTTGACGGTATTCGTTACGACACGAAAAAACAACTTGAAAGCATGTAATGATTGAGTGATGAAGCACAGATATGACACACGTCGGGACCTGAGAGAGTGGCTGCTACAAGCATACACATGAAGGGGAAGGATACGCTGTCATGAAAAAACGCACAAAATAGAGTGAGTGCCTCATATTGTGATATGTTATGGGCTCGGTCGAGAGACTCAGCACAGGTTGCGCTTCCTGCGGATGGTACGGATACGATATTTTGCGCCCAAGTAGCAACAGCCAGGCTAGGGCTTGATGACAAGGCTGGATGATCCGCCTCTCCCCTTCCCCCCTGTACTCGGGCAGGCAGGAATTCGGTTTGCCGCGATATCGATTTCGGTTCGCCTTGGCAAGGCCTTTCTATCTAGTGATCTCCTCATTATATCCTGGGGTCCGAATCCCAATCGTGCTTAGACGCCTCTGTGCGCCTTCAGGTCTCGTGTTGCCAGATCTCTGCTTCATAAGCCACATGTTCCCAGCCTCTTCCCTCCCTCCACCTAGCAGATGGCTGCAATTCACTCCCCTTTCTCTGCCTCCAAAAAAACCACCTTCAAGTCTCTGTTCCCTCTACCAGATTTCTCTTACAACATCAAAGGGTGTACATGAAATCGGGCCTCTGATCCCCTAACTTCTCAATCTCGTCCTCGGTCTTGCCCTCCACCCACACATCCCTCTCGCCCGCCCGACGCTTGGCATTCTCTCTTCTCAGCAGGACGTGCTGCAGGATACTGCCACCTAGAAGAAAGACAGCTTCGTAGCCGAGAACCACGGCGTGGCCGGGCCGGAATCGAGGCTTGTCTTGTGCGCGGTAGATGTTACTAGACATGATTCCTATCTCACAGAGTCAGAACTTGTTGTTTGTGTTTTTCGGCCGCCTTTGTTGTGCCAGAGCAGATTCGAAACAGTTCTCGAAACACCCCACGGGAAGATGCTTCTGACTTGACGAGATATAGAACCGAAGGCATAAGAGAGTAGACAGGGAAAACTGTTCCATACCATTCAGGTTGCCCCATCCAATGACGAATCCCAAGGCGATGCCTCGCTTGTAGACACCCTCGACATTATTCGCTGTCCAAGTAATCGTGTTTGGGATGCATGGGTATATTCCCATGGCACCCAAGAATGTGCCTGCATATTGGACGTGCGGTTCTCCCGAGCCTAGAAGCATACCAAAACCAGCTATGCCAAACAAGGCCATGACCATATTGCAGTAGCCTATTTCATTCCGTCAGCGAAAGAGGCATCTGAAGAGGGAGAGGAAGAAAGAGGTGGGAAAGAGAGATATACCTCTCATTCTAGTTCTATCAGCAATAAACCCAACGAAAATCGTTACCGCCGCAGCCACAGCATAAGGCGGCACGCTAAGCAGCTGAGCGTGTATGCTCTTATAACCCATTTGCTGAATGATCGTGGGAATGAAGAGAGAAAACGCATAAAGAGCACCATCACAGCCCATGTAAATCATGGCGCCTGTCCAGGTCTTCCAGTCCGTGGCGGCGGCCCAGAAATACTGCAGTTTGAATGCTTCGTGCTCAGCGCTAGATTGTTTGTCTAGTTTAAGGCGCCGAATCACACGACGCCGGTCATCTTCGCTGAGAAATTTGGCTTCGTCCGGGAAGTCGTGGACCTGTGTTCCCTGTTAGCCTGCGAGCGTTCTATCCACGGTAATGGCATGAAGCTTGCCATGAAATACGACAGCCCAGCTATGATGATCGTAGCAAGGCCTTCGAGGATGAAGATCCATGCCCAGCCTGGCTTACCTCCCACCCCATCCATCTGGACGATAGCAGCGGCGAGCAAGCCACCAAAAGATCCAGCAAGAGCCGCCGCAGAAAAAAAGATGGCCGCTCGAATACCGAACTCAGATCGTCTGTACCAACAAGATAGGTAGTAATTGACGCCTACGGCAATGTCAGAAGGAACCTGGAGAGACTCGAAGATTTAACGCACCAGGGAAAAGACCCGCTTCAGTCAACCCAAGGAACCATCGTGCGGCCATGAGGCCGGAAAAATTGTGGACAAGACCCATTGTGGTCATGCAGATACCTAGGAAAGTAGGACTCCGGTTAGCAAGGCTGGTACATAAATGAAGCTCCGAACCAAGACGCAGGAAATTACCACCGTGGTGGTTCCGGACCTGACGCCAGCTTACTCACCCCATAAAATCATGATTGTGGGAAGAAAGATGGACGGCTTAAACCGTTTCAACAAAATCTGGGTGAGAGGCTCGAACAGCGAATACGAAATGAAAAAGATTGTCAAAGTATCATTGTATTCGTTGTTGGTCAGGTTCAAGTCTTCTTGAAGACCGTCGATTTTGGCGTTTCCAATATTGGTCCGGTCCAAGAAAGAAATCAGGTAGAGCAAGCAAAGCCATGGGATCAGCTGAATGTCAAGTTTCCAGAGCAATTTGCGGTCCTAAAGGACAATCAGTCATTCACCTCCTTGAGACAAGAATGAGTTCTTGCCTACAATATGCTTTCGCTCTTCTTCACTCAGACCTTCATCTGGGTCTGGGGTAGTGACAACATCGACAGGTACACCGCCTTCGACGTGCTTCTCATTCTCGGAAGGAGAACGAGCATCGTCAGAGTCCGAAATTTTGGGATTAGTCTTTTCCATAACAGTGGGCGACGGCAGGTGTTCAGTGTGGAGTAAAGAGGAGAGAACGGGGAAGACTGCATATATAGACGATGCGTCCAAATCGTCGAAATGGGGACGGAGGGTCGTACCGAGTACAGACTTGACTGAAGGATATTTTTAATCTGGAACAACGGAGGACGATCGCTTACCGGAAGACGGTCTGCAGGATGTCCTTCGGGGTTTCGACAGACATTCTGGTCCAGCACGACAGAAGACGTCAGGCTGGAAGCGCATCCTTGCATGGTCATGCTGTCCTTCCTCATGGGGCAAGTGACTTGAGGGTGAAGAGAACGTGGATGATGGACATGCGTCGATCGTCGTGTGGGAACCATCGATGGAACGCATTTCAGCCATTGACGTCGATGCCAAAGATACAGGCACCAACCGCAGCCAAGTCACACTAAGCTTCCCGTACCCAAGATGCGCTAGAAGATACTGGACAAAGCTCTCACTGGCCTCCAGAGTTCGTCGCTGCTAACAACTGGGCTGATCATTGTCAGCTAAGGCAAGGCGGGGATACCAGGGGCCTGCGGTCATTTGCCGAGTGGACCATCATGATGCTATAGGCGTGTCAGCGCCCACGATGTTGCCACAGCCGTTGCAATGAAGTATGGCGTTGCCCTTCTGATGCCTGCCACTTATTGCTCCGCTTAAGAATTTAAGCGGCGATGGTGGAAGAGAGACATTCGCTGCACAGATGATTCGGGTTGTTGGTTATTTCGTGTGCTTCAGCGACTTTGGTTTGATTGGAGGGTGATTTCAGTGTCACCTCGCTTGCTGTTTCATGCATATCCCGTGAAGCATTCGGCATATCTGGGAAACGGGCCATCGGTGCCATTCACCGTAAGTCGCAGGCAAAGCATCTGGGCGTCGGCCATTCTGGGGAACTCTCCGATTCTCCCTGTCCACAGCACATTTCTTGTTTACGCCCTCGCGTCCAAGGACCGCCTCATAAGTGCTCGGAGGGAGTATTGGGGCGTAGGCTTCTTACACCTCTGACATCTTTGGTGAGGGTATATATTGGTAAAAAAAAAAAAAAAGGCTCGGCTCAGGCAACAAGGACCATGCCGGCCGAGGCTTGATTTTCGTCACGTACGAATATTCGGGTAAACAGCAATCCAAGCAGCCGAGATCAGTGCATTTTTGAATGCTTGGAAGGGTTATTTTGGTGCTTTGAAGCTCTTTGAAGATACCCTCGTTTGCGTGTCTCTGATTAGGAGACATGAATAACCGTGAAAGCCATGGCCATGATGGAGCAATCGGAAGGAAGATGATTCTGTGATGAGGGGTCAATATTGAGAGTCTCGACCACCTGGATACCTAGGTATGTTCTGGTAAGTGAGTCCTCACTGTCGACATCGATAGGGCAGCTGCGATTGCGAGGCTGTGAGGGTGAGGCTGGTCCTTTCCTTTTCCTCTCTGCTCTCTCACACGTCCTGAAGCCCTTCCTCTCCTCAACTCTCGCCGTCCTGTGTCTATATCTTCTCCATTCCGTTTCTCACATCATCGGGTCGCACTTTATCCGTTGGTTCTGTTCATCTCTTCCTATGTGCATCATCTCCTCACTCTCTTCAGCGGCTTGCCATGACTTCGAACAAGGCGACTGGGCGGCTGTTCAAATACCCTCCCATGGAGCGCCAGGATCTCAATCAGTCGCAACTTGGCAGCTTCAAGTTTACTCCCGTTGACCCTGTCATTAACATTCAGTCCCTCACTCAATCAGCGAAACTCTATCTTGAAAAACAGATTTCTCAGAGGTTCCCTCAAGGAGCAGCACTCCCCTTGGCCGCACCTTCACAGAACAAGCTTCTCCCTGTCAGTGATATGCCATATGAAAACCTTGCACTGTATCCAAACCCTTCCTCGACTGATGCGGACTTCTTCAACAAACACATCAAGCCTGATCTTGGAGACTCTCGACTGCGACTGGGTCCAGCAGCTCTCCGTTCCGCCGTTGAAGGTGCCGCAAGCCCAACCAAAAAAGCGGTTGCGATTCATGTTCAACGGGAATCTGAAGGCGCCGCTGTGAGCCAGCACGGAAGAAATAACTCTTTCATTGTAAGTGTGGATTCAGAATTTCACTTCTCCCTGCCCGTCACTTTGTCTGTCTTATTAATAAGATGCGTAGGCACCAGAACCCGTTTCATCCCATACTCAAATCCCAATCATGGATGTCACGCCCACCACGTTCTTATTAGAAGGAGGCTTCCCCGGTCAAAATCTATCTGACTCAACATCTTTCAGTGAAACGCTATGTGTGGCTTTGGAGAACGAACAACGAGCTCACAAAGCCACCAGAGCAGCCTTGGCTCAACAAATCATGCGACGCGCCGAGGTTGAAGACCAACTCAGAAAGAGCAGACAACAGATTGCGAGCATGACAACCACAATTAACAACCTGGGTGCCATCATCAAATATAATGCCAACAAGAGCGACGCTGATACTACTGGTGGGCATAAAAAGACTGACCTATCGGAAGAGGATGAAGAGGCAGCTTTGAAAGAGTTTTATCGTGAGTACCAGAAAGTCAAAGACGCCGCCAAGGAGAAAGCTCAACCCAAGGGAAGGGAACAGTCTACAGGAAAAGAATATTCCGAACCTGATATATCAGCCCAGAAGGACGTGGCTGGTGTGGTAGCCGCAGCAGCATGTGATATCGCCGATGATGCGCAGCTCTACAACCTTGATCTGCTGAAGAAGCCTACGTTTGATGATTCTGCCGATTCTGCCTTGCGGCGGACTCTTCGCAAGCACTTCTCTATCGACGAGACTGCCGATGACGACAAATTCCCTGTAACTCCTGCTAAAATCCGTCCAAGCATCAACAGGCTTATCGACATCTCTCCTGAGTCACTCGGTGGAGCAAAAGTGAAGGACGAAGCTGAACACGAGAACGACATGTGTGTCTCACAGGACCAATCCCGGTCCAACAACCCCTCAAATGGTAGCCAACAGCGACTGAAGGCTTCACCAAAGATTCCAAGTCAAGTTCGTCTTTTGGTAAGCAAGTGGAATGCCTCTCGGTGAACGGCCTCTGACAAGAGTAGACTACGCAAAATCCTGTCCTTGAACTGGTGAATGCCCTTTGTTTGTCACTATCCCGATGATTGCACTAACCACCACATAGCCTGCAGCAATCGTCGCTAAATACGGACAAGAACCTGTCGCTTCACACGAGCAAGCCTTGCAGGGAAAGGTCGGTTTGTTTCCCCCATGGCCAAGATTTACTAACGTGGTTGGATAGTCAAACGGAGTAAACCTGCATCTGTCAAATTTTGAGGTATTGTTGCTTGAAAACAGACCAGGCAAGCCTCCAAACGATGAACACCATGGCAGACTCACCCCGTCTTCGTCCCTCACTAGTTGTGATACCGGCCAATCACCTACCACTATGGTCTTCTCTGCCGCTCGGCCAAAGTCTCGCATCACTATTCAGATCGGCGACGATCTCCATGGGATGCCTAAATGGTTGATCAACAAAGACAACCCAGTTTTTGAGAGTGACCAAGAAAAGTGGCAAGCCCTCGGAGAGAACGGGATTGCCTGGCGCCAAAACAGCCCATTCATTGACCATCCAGTGCGCTACCTCCCTGAGGACGCAGCTGGCAATGCTGACGCGTATCGGACTGTTATGATCGACGCCATTCCAGTCGGAAGCACTTTGGCGGATGTTCTCAGCGTTGTCAGGGGTGGTTCTTTAGAGTCCATCCAGCTCTTTCCACCAATCGGTGGAGCGACTTCCTTCATGACCGCTCGAGTCGTCTTCAACTACGAAGAATCTGCGCACAACATGATGAAAAATCAAGAAGTCAAAGGAGGGAAAGCCGGTGATGCGAACCGATTCAAGATCAAGGGTGTTGCTGTTCGTTGCTGGATGCCCACGGATCCAACCTATCCCCGAAATGATGAGCTTGAGCGCAAAGTTTTGGGCAGGTCCCATGCCTCCCGAATCATCCTCATCAGCAACATAGACGAATACATCTTTAACATGATCCCTTACAAGATCAAAAACCCTCATGCTCATCACGTCATTGAGTATAGCTACACACCTGACGGCTGCGCATCGATCGAATTCACCAACATTAAAACGGCCATCAAGGTAATGGATCTGTTGGAGAGAGATGGGCAACTCTGGAATGGTAATCTCCAGTACGACACTGATTACACCTGTACTCCGTACGTCAAAGGGGAGGCGATGGGCAATTGAAATGGCGTGGAGTGGACGGAGAAAGGAGAAATTAGGATAAATCCGCTTCCAATCAAGTATCGAAATTGTACGGAAGCTGAAAATGAGCCACGCAAGTAGCCATACATGGGTTACCACTAGAGATAGGAAAAGAGGCAAAATTGATCAATGCATATCCTTGAATCTGTTGTCTGGTGGCATTTGGTTTGTTTGCTTCTGTCCAGCCTGGCACGGACTCGCTGTCTCTTTAAAAGGACCGGTTGAGACCTCCGCCAATCCTTTACCATGTTGTCCAGGCCAACATCCGCTTGAATATCAATAGCAATGAGGCAGGCTAGAGCCTAGCGTAAGGTCTTATCATAGCATTTGACGTTGTACACCATTGATACCTCCATTTAGGACCATAGGCTGCAAAAAAGCCGCCTTACCTCTGTCCGGTGATTTCGTTAGCCCATGTTACCGTCTGTGCTGCTCAAATTATGTACTAGGCACTTGGGCATACTGGGTCATATCGTATCTTGTTCTGGCGCCTACGGTTCCTCTAGCCTTCAAGGTTCAAGAGAAAGCCACCAATGAGCAAAAATCAAACTGCTATTGAGCTCGAGCTCCGCTCATACTAGACCCGCCAACGAGTATCGATTCCTTGAATGCTGCATGCCAATTTACTGTTTGCCGTTGAAATATCTGGTCTATTTCTCATTCCTGTCCGTGGCAATGGCTGGGGCAAGATATCTTTATCTCTGCACATATCCAATGCCATCAAGTTCTGCCGCCGGCTGGGTTGATGCTGAT